TATGTGTGTGTGTGTGTGTTAAGCCTACACACGAGTGAATTATCTTCCGGAGTTACAGGGATTTGAGTAGTTACTATCCCACCCCCGGCACCCATTAACATTTAGCCTCCCACAGTGCAGCAGCAGAGTATGGGAGATTTCCAAGAATCAATGCTTTGGAGAGGGAACGGGAGCAAGAGACATAAACAGTGACAAGAGTAAGTGAATTAGACAGAAAGAGTTTAATAAAGGACACAGGGAAAAGGAGAGCAGGCAGATTTGATGTATATAATGTTTCCAGGAAACCTAGTTTAACACGAAGGCCCCCCTCCCCTCCGCTAGAAAAATCTGGTGGAATCATCTGCATAATTCTAGAAAAGATCAACTCAGGCTTAAACATTAATATGCCATGTCATAATCACTCTGCGAGAGGTTACCAAAATATTACACAGCGTATTTCTCAGCAAAAAGGGTCCCTGGAGGCAGTTCAAGTGGAGCTGGCAGGAGACTGATGGACAGAGAGGTGAGTTTGTGACAAGAACATGCACAGTTTGATTCCCCAGATCAGAGGAAATCTGGCTCTCTAGTTTTGGAACCACAGAAAGCAACGCAGCAAAGTGTTCATCTGTTCTGGTGTAGCTGCTAATAGTGACTGTGTTTTTTAGTATGAAAATATCAATGGATATGTTGTTTTCTTTCTAGCAGTGCTCTGTTTCCCATCCACAGTTCCACTCATTCACACCTGAGAGCTGCCAGGTTTTCTGTTGTTGGCCACAGAGTAGCTTCACTGAAACAGTTGGTTTTCAGCAACCTTGTTTTTGGGCTTTCAGCAGGTGTAACTGAAACTGCTGAACTTCCAAGCATGTCTTGAATAAAAAAAAACTGCAGTTTTGTTCGCAGGTACACGTTGAAAAAGCCTGTATGTTTTATTTTTTATCCCTTTCTGATGATATTTTTCTCTCCAACCAATTTCCCACTTGCTACCTAACAAACTACAGATTTTGCGTAAAAAGCAGCAGCACCTCTCCCACTGCCCCTCACTTCCGTCCCACAGGGTTTAGTACTTGGTCCTGTCCTGTTCATCCTCTTCCTGCTCCCCTCTCTGTGATTTCATCTGTTTTCATTGCCTCCATTTCCACTGCTGTGCTGATGATTACATATCCACTAAATCCATCAACACTGCAACTCACTCCACCCTGACCAACTGGCTCACTGAAATTAAATCATGGATGCAAGCCAACTTTCTAAAACTGAACTGTGACAAATCTGATATGATATCATTGGTCCCAAAGTTCTCACCAAAACCACCCACAACTTCTGCCTCTCCCCACACTCTAAGTAATCAGAAAAACACTTTGGTTCGGTAGTTTCACTTTTTGGTTCTTACTTTTCATGGCTACTTACTGGATTAAGAATGGCTGAAATAAATCTCACAGAAACACTAAACACTTGTGTGTGTATATCACTCACCATGGGAAATAGTTGATCCGTACCCTGTTCTTGTAAACAACAATGCCGGCAGACATCACCCCAATAAGAATTTCTGTGTTGCTCTGGTCCTGAAGAGAGGGTAACAGAGTATGTGAAGGAGACACACAGAGTACAACAGTGAAAAAAAAAGGACAAAAAGACAGCAAGACATTTTTGGATTAGCTTCCTCACTGCTACAAAACAAGCAGACGTTGCTGAAAACAGACAACCTGCCTCAAACAAAGAGCAGAGATCGGTGATACACTGAAAGAAAGCCACACAGGTGGAAATAAGAATCTGTGTTGGACAAGACCAGAGTTTGTGAGGAGCCAGGGTCCAATAAACATCTACAGTAAATAAGAGAAGACCTTTCAACATGTTGAGACTTTTGTCCTAATTGATTATCTAATTTAGAAATGTAATTTTATACAGTATTCACTGGACATCCTGCATGTGCAATGTGATACTGATGATGACAGAGTGCTGAAACATGTTTGTCTTGTGCTGCTTTATGCAGAAAACAAAATTGATTTTCTTAAAGTTTTGATACACCGAATCAATAATCATGAATTGCCCTAACTGGAAAACCAGCCTGGAGCTGGTTACACTATTAAAGGAATGGCCTTTATATTTCTTCAAAGTATACACTGCATACTTTTGATTTTATGTACATTAAGGTTGAAACCAAGTTAATGTCCCAATTCATAAAAGATTAGTAACACAATTTCCACTCCTCCGTGACATTATAGTGGATGTGAACATAGTTCTTATCCCTTCAACAGTCTTCAGCTTTTACTGTAGATTGAGATTCATGTGATGACTATTCAACAGAAATACATGAAATGACTTGGCTACGCAGCTACTATCTGTTGCTGTTTCAGTGAGAGCTGAATGCCAATGTGTGGTATTTCTACTGGATGTAGGCATCAACACAAACTGTACACACTGCAGCTCCTCCAACCTGTTCTCATTTCTCCCAGCGGCTCAAAAACAGTGTCAAATCAACCATGTTGTGACAGTGGGCTGCAGATTGGGACTTTATTCTATAAATTCTGATGCCACTGATTGAAGGTTGATATGGACTAAATTAGCTTGTACTTCTCAGGGTTTTTGTGGGGGAGAGGGAGGAGAGAGACAACTGGAGTGAGATCACAGATACGCTGACATGTCTAACAGGCCACATGGCTTGTGCTGGGAAAAAAAAAAAACACGAGGCACTAGACAAACAGAAACACAAAAACACAAACTGTATATAAATGTCTTTAACAAACACACACGCACCAAAGCAGACAAGTGTTAACAGTCGCAGAATAAAACCTTACTTACCCTTGCATAGTGCAGCTCTACCCCGTAGAGCTCCAGCGTGCGTGCTGTGTTCAGATAATTAAACTCTGACTGGGCAGGAGATAGACCACTGAGAGAGAGAAAGAGAGTGTGTGTGTTAAAGAGACATATGGAGAAGGAGAAGAGAAAGGGAAGGGCACAAAGGCAAACAAAAGAAATGGGCGAACAGAGATATGAATGACAGCAGGAAAAAAGGTTGGTGGCATATGTCATAGTGCATCATAATGTATGTGTGGGAGTGAGTTTTCTTACATATTTCTCAAGAAAATAAAAAAATATTTGACTATTTTGTCAGTTCTAAATATAATGCACATTGTTGGCAGAATTAGTGTGCTTTTACTGCAACAAAAGGCGTCATTATTACAATATTTGACATGACAGTGGCATCAACAGCCTCTTTATCTGGACATATAGTAATCTTTGGCATCCAATTCATTTTTGTGTCAGTTCCCGTGTATCTGTACATGTATTTGAATGTGCTCGTTTGTGTGTCTCAGTGTACCTGTGCTGCTGGTGATGTTTGGAGACCTCTTTGTGGAAGTCCTGTGGGGGGTTGGAGACAAAGCAGTATTCCGACAGATATCCTGCTGTATGCTCCGTTTCATTGTAGTCCCCCAACTCGGCTACAAAGAGAGCGAGAGAAAGAAATATTGATTAATATAATGTAAATGCATCAACACTCTATGCACAGATAGATAGATAATGAGCTAACAATAAGGATGACAATCATGCTGCATGATTATCCCTTTCAAAAAAGGATTCATTGAATTTTTGTATCATAAAGTAAGTTATGCTGGAGTGAATTTACCTACTGCTGGAGGATTGGCTGAAAACAGCATATGTCATTTCTGTTACATACCCATATCTATCTATCTTCTTAATTTTGGACAGTCGACATTTCAACATCTTATAAATTAGGAGATTTAACAACTGTTTTTTTTATACCAGACCACTGAGGTTAAGGATTTGGCTAGGTTTAGGCACAAAACACATCTTGGTTAGGAGTTGTTTATGAATTATCACAACATCTACAGACAAAGCGAAATGTTACAAATACTCTATTAACTCTATTACTCCATAATCTGTAGGCGGACAACCCAAATAAAGGGTTACCGAAAACATGTACTGCTAGAGCCAAATAGCTGAAAAAAATGAAAACAATTAATTCAATTAAATAGAAAAAGTGAAGAGCAGCAAAAGTAGATATTGGTCATAAACATTTGCTATTATTCAAACTGGTGATTCCAACTTTTTCCAGCTTGTACCATTTTCTGTCCATGACCTGAAAAAGTCTGACAGCTTATTAGTGCCAGACCTGCCAAAATATGATAGCACTGCCAATATGGTCTATTGGCATGAAAACCATTTAGCCAGTGCTGGCAATATCTATCCTCACTGACAGATATCTTCAGGATATGAATGTCTGCATGCTTTGGCTCATTATTAACCGAAATAACACCAAACCAATGACATGCAGGAATTCTTCTGCACTTGTTAATTGGCCCTCTTTCTCTGCACGCTTTCCGCCATCTTATCTACTTTGGGTGTGCATTTGTTTTCATGGGAAAGCACTGAAATGACCGCAGTTACAATGGTGTAAAAAAACAAAAACAAATGAATCTTCACACCTTAGCTGTGAATTTCTCACAGCCTCTGACAATCCTCTTTTGTTAGGAAAGCATGTATTATCACTACAAGCACATAAAGGATAGAAACTGAATGTGATCTGAGTGTGAAAGCATATTGACAGCATCAGTTGATCATTTGTTTTTGAGCGTGCATGTGTTCGTGCCCTCGCAGGTTTTCAGGGCTGAACAGAGACACAACCCTTTTATAATGATATTATCAGAGCAGCTGAGCCGTCAGCGTGTGAACATGTATCAAGTTAGTCCAGGCCGATGCAAGAACTGTGTGTGAATATAACAAATATCTTAAAGAACATGACAAACTAAATAACAAGCATATTTAATTTGGAATTAAAAACTGTGCTTTGGCCCTTTTCTAATGAATGTATTTCATTTGGCAGATGGGCAGAGGCATTTAAATGTGGTTTAAAATAACAAGGATCAAGGATCAAAAATACTGTTGTTTTTTATAAAAAAAATGAAGAAGGGAGTGATTGCATATAACAGGCAGAGTGAAATGATTCCCAGATCTCTGGTAGCTTTCAGAGCGAATCCCCAAAGCCATTAGCTCAGTAGCTGGCGGTTGTGGTTCAAAAGCATCAATTCACTAAAGTAGTCCCTGGACTAACCTACTAGCCGGTAGCCTAAGCATATTGACCAACGAATCAATTCAAGCTCACCCGCTTATTGATGCGCACACAGCTCCAGGGAGGAATACAGTATGTAAAGTCAATACCTTACATCTGAGAACAGTAGGCTAGTGTTGGTTTTATTTTATGCTGATGCTTACTTCAACAAGGTCCGATATTAGGGCCAATGAAGCTGACAACCTGATCTCTCTTTATATATTCAAATTGTGATGTGAAATCTATACTCTGCTGTATACTGGCTCAAAGCGGAAAGGCTAGCTCGGGATCAGGCTCCTTATAATTATGCTATTGACCAATTAAGCACAAACAAGGCATTCAGCTCTCCATTTGTGATGATGGATTTACAGGCATTGGGGGTAATTTAGTCCATGTGTGTTTGCACACAAATGTGTGTGTGTGTGTATATTAACAATTAACTGTTTATTAACAGCAAACATAACTGTATGTTTACCACCACAGTGAATATCAATAAATTAACACAAGAAACACTATGGAACTCAGTGAATACCAGCTTGTGTTTGGTGATGCAACATTTGAGATAAAGCTGAATTACACAACCCCACATCTACTGCTTTAAAATAAACAAAAATGTGTCATTTCAAGATTTATTTATTTTTTACCAAAATGCCTTATTTCTGAGGGAAAGCGTTGCTATGGTTATTGGACAGTTGGTCAATTTTAAACAAGGATTTAGGTCTACTGGGTGGGATTTGTTGTGTTTTGAAAGTGCAAGCTTTTACACGGGATTTAGCGTGATCAGTGCTGGCACTTGGGGTCGAGCTAACTGAATTAGCAGCATAGCAGCTGCTTCAAGCCGTTTTTCCCAAAGCAAACATTTATCTTCATAATCTGGGCTGGCACTGAGCGAAGTGACAACATGGACCTAGCTACAGAGTGTGTGTCTGTGTGGGTAAAAGCAGTAGTGTCATGATGTTGGTAGTCTAGGCCAAATCTCTTCTCTGACCTATATACCGTAGCAGTGCAAATTCCCCGCAAAATATGCCAGAGAGGTGGAGGACAGAGAGAGGGAGAGAGGAGAGGGGGAAGGGGTTTAGGAGTGTGGAAAAAAAAGGGATAAGCAGAGAGGGATGAGAAAGACTAAACAGAGATAAAAAGAAAGAAACAGACAGAAGGATAAACAGGCTTCACGCAAACAATGAGCCGCAATAAAAGAGAAAGAGCGAGTGAGACAGACAGACAGACCAGTGTGTCAAGAGTCATTATTCACATGACAGAGGGGCCCAGTCAGCATTTAACCCAAACGCTAAATCACAACAGTAGATGAGATTACCGCTGAGGCTGAACGTACACTGGCACTGACTAGTCTGTAGAAATGTTTTTTAAACTCTGGCTTTTAGAAAAATGTAGGCAAGGAACAACAAAAAGGGAAGTAGATCATTTATTGCGTTGCCTGAAGCAAAATTTTAATACCGTTTGAAACAATATCATCTAGATCTAGTAAATTTGATCAGACATTCCATCTAAAACATTTATTTATTTGTCCTTTAGTCAATAAATAGAGATGAAATAAAGGATAATACATAGCTGCCATTGTTCTAGCGTATTTCCACTTGGTCGATAATGGGGATTTTTGACTAGTCTCGACTGTAAAAAACCGAACCACAATCACATTGAATATTTATGTCACTGCAAATAATATCAAATATCACTGCACAGCTTAATTGAATCCTAATGGCTTCAGAGCACCAGCTATGAAAGCACTGGAACAACCACAGTCATTACATTTAACAGTGTGTGTAGCTAAAGAGAGGCCTAATGAATTGCCTTTCCATCAGTATGTAGAGTGGATGTATCCAGGGAGCTTTAGGAGCTACTTACATTGAACAGCATAGGACGCCAGCAGTGCGGCTGTGTTGTGTGGACAGGGCAATCTGGAAAGAACCACATACAGATATTGAGTTTTGGATCACTTGTCGTTGATAATAACACAGCAATAAAGAAATGTAAAAATCATCGACATTATTTTTCTTTTATTTGAAGAAACAAAGAGAGTTTAAAGTATAATATACCATTTATGTTGTTATATTAAATAACTACAATACAGAAACTGAGTAGAAATAGTTTTTCAACCACACGCAAGCAAACCAACAGTTATGGCTGTGTTTTCGCTTTAGTTTTTGAACAGACTGAAGTTATTTTGATACTTTTAGATCCATATATGGCAGCTTTGAAGCATCGACTCATGTCTTTATTTTTGTTACAAGCTTAAGGCGCTGCACAGCTGCATGCAATTTACTTATTCATTCACACATTCGACCTGCTGCAACTGAAAGCCAGACCTTCAATCAAGTTACCTCAGCGACTACGTTATAAATACCATGGGTATTACGCTTAACTGCAGGATTGAAATTGCTTGCTTTCTTGTATGTGTATGTATATACACTTATATTTCCTATAGTCACACACCTCTTTAGACCCACTAACGCTCTCCTATATTACATTACATACCAATTATAATACAGTGAGAATTATTCTATTTCAGAAGCTCTTTATGCGGCAAGACATACTCACCTTCCAGTTAATATATCCTGCTTGATCTGGAGGAAATATTGGTACCTGCAGGGGGATGACACACCACCATTAGGACAAAAGGCCAGCGAACCATTACCTCTGTTTAAATTGAATATAATATGATGTAAAGACAAGCAGCCAACAGATGCCTGTCGGTCACATTATAATGGTGACAATTCTGATGGAAGTGCCTGTTATGTAAAATCAATAGACACCCTTTAGCAGAGGCTTCTGTTTAATTACAATAAAGCTCATTTGCCATAACATAAATAATACAGATTTCTTTTAGAAATAGATATTCTTCATCATTTCATAACATATATCCTGTATGAACTGAATTTAAAGGAGAATGAAAATATAATCCCACTACTAGCAACACTGAGCCATTCGTCATCCTAGCTCTTGCTATCAGTACTGCTAACCCAGTGTCGTTGTGCACTACCCCACCAACGTCATAAACGTAGTCCAGCAGAGCTATCAGGACTGTGTGTTGGTTGTGACTTGAATTTACAATTCACCAGATCAGCATGTCGGACCCAAGCCTCACTATTCACTGTTACAAGCTGTATACAAAGTGTTATTAGGGCTCAGGGAGCGAGGCCATGGCTGAGAGGCTGAAATAAACACCAGGCAGAAAGGCGATATGGTGTTGTGACGCCTACCCTGTATGTTGTTTATGTAGAGCGCAGTGGTGCAGACCTTATGTTTGCACAACTGTGGGTTGGAGTCCACATTAAGGCCTTGATACCAAACATACTGCTTTCTTATTTTTCTTTAATGAGGTTGCATCAACTAAAAAATGAAGCTCTGGTCCTGGGTATCCATTGGCAATGATTAGATCCCTCTTTTCAGTAAACCTATTTTTATATGATTGTCTAGTTCACTTAAGATCTAAGGAAAGGAAATACATTTATTTTTCATACACATACAGTATACAGTATGTCCCTTCTTCCACGATGAGCTCTGGTACATTATGTCTCCTATTTTCAGCTGTGTGTGGCACTTAGACACTAAATAAATCACAACAGACATGTTCAATTAAACTCAACAACTAGTACATTTAGATATATATAGAAATAATTCTTAAAAAAGATTCAATAGTTTTCTTTTTCAGTAACACACACCCAGCAAAGCCATTTCCACTTCCAACCTTCTGCTCACCAAGATCATTGCTCCATATTTCTGAATGAAACAACATAAATACACCAGATCATGTATGATACATAAGTCTAGAGTTGTGGTAGTGATCCAACACTGAACTATAAATCAAAATATAGGCCACCAGAGCCAGGTTAACACCTGGAAGTATAAATCCAGCCTAACACCTTCCATCAGATAATATTGAGCAAAACCTTTCTTACCGCGTGTATTCTTCCTGAAGTTTATTGGGGTCTGTCACAAAGAATTTGACTCTGAAGCTCAAGTTATGGGGAGACCCTCCTGGAAAAATGATGACGGAGAGTTAGAGGGGAAAACACAGCATGGCAGATCTGATGGCGACAACATGTGCAGCTAGCTACTGTGATTAACTTTGAACGTTAATCTGAGAATGTGGGAAATATTAATTTATATTATGATAATGTATATGCTGTAAGCAGGGGGTTACGCAGAGTGTCTTGTAAAAAGAAAACACCTGAAAACACAAAGTTTTAATTCAGGAAATCAGAAGCCAAAAGTTTGAAAGCTACACTGACTGACACACTGACATCAATCGGTATAAACGACTCAAAGTGTAAATTACGCAAACCTACAAATACAAGCACACCAGTCTAACTCCATGTGTAAAATACAACATCCTGTGGTTATTCCTCAATGAATCAGTCGCTCAGCATAAAAACAAGAGTTGAAACACAGTTCAATCATTGCTTGAGGATGACTGCATTTCTCACTAGGGCTACGTCTTAATTGTTCTACATGTTACAAATTCTATTACTCATTATCAGAAACAAAATAAAAAGAGCGGGGTTGAAATTAAGTTTAATCATAGCTTAAGGCAGATTCAGAATATTAAATCACTCTCAGTGTGGACTGAAGACTTTTGCTTGAGGACGTTTAACTGTCACTGAGGCTGGACTGCAGACTGTTGCTTCAAACAGCTAATACATCTTGAAATTGAGTGTATTAAATGCTGATTCCTGAAAATGACTTGGACTGGTTAGTGAAGGTGGTACGTTGTGGATTTCACCTACTTTTTAACTGTTTCCTGATGGGCTTGTTGGGATCGAGCCAGCGCTGTAAAATATTGATTGAGAGACACTTAGAGACATCGTCGTGCTTCAAGAGCATGAATACACACAACCTAAATTATTCACACACACCTGACAGAAATACTCAAACACTGTGCACGTGGACAAAAACACACATTGATATACTACGCACACTACACATACACTCAATGCACATTTTAGATAATTATTTACAGTTGTGATGCATCTGATTTTATTTTACTGATCCAAATACAGAGCATCTCTAGAGTAGGCAAACACATGTACACACGCACACACGCACTTTCCTGTAGATCAGAAACATCATACTGACTGCCGTATCTAAGGAGTCATCAGCCAAGTGCAGGCCAAAGTAGTCTCTCTCAGTCAGCTCCAGGTGCTTAAAGACAGCATCCAGCAACACCTGGCCATGATCCGATTTCTACAGAAAAAGGGAGACAGAAAACGCACAATTAATTTAAATTGGCAAATCAATTTAAAAAAAAAAAAAAGGAAGACAGACAAATGGGATGCATTGCTTTGCACAAAGCTCTCTGATTCGCGTCCTTGCCTCCTTACTGCTCCTGGACTCCTCGTGTGAAAGGTCACAGGAGACACAGCGAGGGCATGTGAATGAGAGGGGAACTGATTAAACCATATCCTGTGCCATATTAAAGAGAAGACTGAAGCACTGTGCTGGGACTCGTCACACAAAGAAATCCCTTTTCCCTCCGCTAAATAATTCAAACACTCACATTGCTGCAGAAACATTTCCCCCAAGTTAAAATTCATGTGTGATTCACCTAAGTTGAGCCTTATCTAATATCTTTTCTAACCACGTGGGGAAGAACATGTATAAAGAATTAAGCTGATGCATGCCTGTGGGCTACTCTCGTATATTTATCTATTTCGCTACATGGTTTGTTCAGTGACCGTGTAATGTCATCTGACATCTTTCTAGCAAATGGAGCAGTATACGTTATATAGTTCTAAGAAAAACACGTTAAACGGTGACAGCATAAAAGTTTAGCACAACATCTTACAAATATGCTACTTACACTCATGGAATTATGTTTTCTTTTTCTCATTTTATATGGGCAAATCTATTCAATCATTATTTCTGCACTGAGGATACTAAAAAGGAGTGACTCCTGACAGGGTTTGGATTTCCTTAAGAGGACAGAAGCAGGAAACACATACACAGAGGTACAGAGAGAAAAAAGTACGTAGAGAAGTGCTCACAGCCATTAACATATAGATGTAATAACATGTCAGTTTGTTTAAATGTGATCTAATTTCCAACATTCAACTGCAACATTTGGTGACTTGGATTGTTGTTAATTAAACAATGTCAATGTCATTTACATAGAGAAACACTAAAGATACAATGATTTATGTTGTGCTGCAATGACAACATCATTGAATGAATGAATATGAAGTTGTATGAAAAACCTTCAGCAAGTTTTCCCAACAATTCAAGTTTTTGTTCCCTTTAACTAACTGTAAACAGATCAATGAAAACTGTCATGAGGCAACACTTCTCAAAAAAAATAATAATAATAAAGCGCCGTGGTAAAGAATAAAGGAAGAACTGACAAAGTTCAACACTGAAACCACAGTCTGTCTGTGGTCAAGCTTGCATAATTGAAAGAGGAACACTTAGAAAAAGAGGTTGAGAGTTCAGGAAGATAATTAAATGTGCTTTAACATGATTAGGCAACTTCAGATTTACAGGTCCTGTTTTCAGATGTCTACTGCAAAGGCTTTAGAGAGGAAGTGCTTAGTGCTGCTTCGTGACGTATGTTTGCCCATAATTCCTGTTGGTTATAATATTTTTTTTTTACTCACAAACTTGAGTGAATGTAGCTAAAGCGCTGTTAGAATCAAAAGTATGGGCCTTACAATGTATACACCCAGTTACCCAGTTAAATCCAGTTATCAGAACCAATCTTCTAGAAGAGGAATTGAAGATGAAAGTGAAACTGAACACATTGTATGTACCACAGTGTGTGTGTGCAAGCGGTTTAACAGTGTAATGAATGCCTATAATGTACATTTTGAGTGTCTTTTGTTCATTTTAAGAACAAATGGATCATTATTGCACCCAGTAGGTTAAATGTCATAATAACTGTAGGAACAGTGGCTGAACAAAAATGAAACGTAGGTTGTATTAAAAGCAGGAATTTCCCTTAGACGGGGAAACAGGAAGAAGAGAGAAGAGGATGAGAGGGATGAGTGGCTAAACTAAGTGAAAAAAGGGTGAGGAATAATTTATTAAACAGTTCATTAATATCACATCGTTTCATGAGAGAGTGGGAAGGGCGAGAGGATAAACTGTGGGACAACAAGTGGAGCAGAAATTCACACCTGATCCTGCCACGACTTAGAGAGAGAGAGTGTGAGTGTGTAACTCCATCAGAGCTCCCATGGGAGAACGAACACACACACACACAC